AAGGTAATTTACAAAAAAAAAAAAGAAGAAAGGTAATTTACCTTAGAGAGGTAAACTGACTTACTAATTAAATGCTCAAAATATTTGAAAGCTTCAATAGCTCCAAATAGGCAGACTGGTTTAACAGTAGATCACCAATCAGACAAGGCAGGGGAGGAAGCAACCAGCCTATCTAGTAACTGATGTCACAAAGTGGGTTATTTTGTTTTATTTAATTTGTTTTGGGGTTTTTGTTTTGTTGTTTTGGTTTGGTTTGGGGTTGTTTTTTTGGTTTTGGGTTTGGTTTTTTTTGTTGTTGTTGTTGTTGTTGTTTTGCTTTTTGTTTTTTGTTTCTTAGTATTTTGAGACAGGGTTTCTCTGTACAACAGCTCAAGCTGTCCAGGAACTTGCTCTGTAGATCAGACTGGCCTCAAACGCACAGAGATCTTCCTGTCTTTGCCTCCTGAGTGCTGGGATTAAAGTCATGAGTTACCACCACCCGGCACACAATGGTTTTACGAGTTGACTTTCAATAGTGGTGTTGTTGCTCTGACTGTCAGTGACAGCTCATCCATCTCAATAGGTCCCTGTATTATGGCTACTCTGATGGATACACAGACATCCCACTAACAGGACTCAAATAGGATGATGGGAGATAAAGAGAAAAGAATTCAAAAGTACCCAGAGCCCTGATGATCTGAGAAAAACAAAGAGGCAAAGAGGCTCCTAGAGGCTGAGATGGGAGGATGAGGAAAGGCCTAAGAGAATTCAGTAAGTCTGAAGTGAAAGCCAGCTAAGTGAAACTTAAGACCTTGGAGGCCTGGGAGAGATGGTCAGAGGTATTTACCCAGGATACTGGAGGGAAGCCTCAGTCTATGAGTAAGTGCCTATTTCCTCATGGACCAGGAAATGTGGGTGAGGGTCTTTCAGGGCTATGTTTCGTGACTATAGGATCATAGCCGAGGTTGAGTATACAGGATCTGGTCTGCAACCCTGTGAAGGCAAGATGTACTTTCTCACATATGCCAGGGTTACAGTAAGAAATGAGTCATTTCTCATCTCTGGGCTGGAATTCCCTCCTCCACAGGCTGATATAAATCTCATCAAGCCATTAAGGAGTTAAATTAAGAGTTTGGGTATCGCCGGGCGTTGGTGGCACACGCCTTTAATCCCAGCACTCGGGAGGCAGAGGCAGGCGGATCTCTGTGAGTTCGAGGCCAGCCTGGACTACTAAGCGAGTTCCAGGACAGCCTCCAAAGCCACAGAGAAACCCTGTCTCGAAAAACCAAAAAAAAAAAAAAAAAAAAGAGTTTGGGTATCAAACCTGATAATGGTATAACCACTTGCCACTTCAGTTATTATCATTTGCTTATCTGCATCTTCCTTAATAATCTGGGTCACAGGGTTACTTAGGGATTCTGCATCATTTGGTGTAAATAAGTCCCAGACTCCTCTTAAGTCATGAGCAGAAGCCCAGTGACCTCAGAGTCCTTTTGGAAGAACCAGGGCTGCACCTTGTGCGGCAGAGAGCTCTCTTGCTGGTGTTGAGGGACTCGGCTGGGATCTTTGTGGTCCCGAGACTGCTCTAAGGATAAAGATCATGGGTGTTCTTCATCAGGTGATTAGTTCAGAAGTATGAAAAGAAGCCATTAAAAATGTCTTCCAGATTCACCAGGGATGTAAGGAGGTTGTGTTGTGGAGTTGTGTCCATGGTGCTTTCAGAGTAGCTAAACCAAGATTAGGAAGTTTGGTCAACAGTCAGTGCCAGGCGATTAAAGTCAAGACATCCTGCTGGCTGCATGGAAGGTAGCAGGACAAGTGACAGCACAGAGCTTCTCCTTCTAGAAAACTCGTTCTAGAACTTTTGCAGCTCATCTTTAGCTGCAATGTCTTCACCATAAGGTCATTTAGGAGCAACAGGTGTTCTGTTCTAATCAATGTCCTCCTAGTGGCAATAGAGCAGGCATGGAAGAGCCTGGAGCCATAGATTCCTCTGTCTATGGCCTTCAGATAGACATTTCACTTCCCTGGCACCCACAGACCAGCACAAGCAGAGGAGTGGCTGCAGACCCAACCCTTCTAACAGAGACAAGAAAGGTCAAGGGAGGCTGGGTCCTAAGGACTCTTCCCAGCAAAGCCCCGGCTACTTCAAAGACAAAATCCAGTAGGTGAGCGGCCAAAATGGAGCCCTCTTTCTCTCACTGCAGTACAGAGAGGTCCCTGAACCCAGTCACTGAGCACGGATTGAGTCAGGAGGAGCCTGTGCTCTGGTCCTAACATTGCCCCCAGGCAGCTGCATCACTCTTATGTGGGTCACTTAATCTCTCTGTGTCTCAGTTTCCATAGCTTTCAAAGGGGAATAAGAAAGTGTCTTCCTCATAGTATTGCTAGGATAAACAAAGACACAAAGTGGAATCATCATGTAAAAACCTGTGGAAATTTGTTGTTTTTAATTCACACAAAATATTATTCAGTAATGAGGTGCTAAAAGTATTTGTTATCTGCAAACTTCAGACCTTTTATTCTGCCCAACCCCAGCCTAAAAGGAATTAAACTCCTTCAGAATTAAAGCATTTCTCTATATATCTGTAGCCTCTCTACAACCAAAGCTCCCTCTTGTCCATGGTAGCAGACTCTTTTCTGGGAGCCTCAGGTATGAAGCCTTAGAAACACATCTTTGAAAATGCCAGACCATCATCCTGACCCTTGCCCCAAACCTCAACATGGGCCCCAAGTCATGACGACCAAGAACAGCTCAGAACAAGAAGTTACAGTTATCAGTCTTCACTACCCCTTTGCCAACCTGCAGTCACCCAGAATGGCTCAAGTATCCCCTTGTTACTCAGAGAGCCCTAGAGCCACTCACACAGGCAACATAGTCTCTGTGCTTGAACACAGTCCCCTCCCTTCCTGCATTCTGTATGTAATAACATGGTTACACCCCCACCAAATGAGGAACAGTGTTTCCTGCATGGCCTTCCCAACACTTAAGCACTACCAAGTTCCAGGCTTCGTGTTGAACCTCAGAGAGCATCAGCAATTCAAAGCACCCCCCTCCCTTCCAGTATGTTCTTTATCCTATGCTCCCATCCCCAGGACCAAGACCCACCAGGATTTTGAGCCAAAGAAGTTTTTCTGCCTCACTTCCTGTCATCAGTCAGACACTGAATTCAAAGCCCTTGTCATCTGATAGCCCTTGAAATCTCGGCTTCCTCTTCCTTCCATGACTACTTGTTTCATTCAACTTCTCTCCTCAGTACTACTCTGGTCTCTCCTACCTGATCTCTAGTTGAAGTGACCTTTCAAATTTAATTCAAGTCTAGCTGAAAATCCTTCAATCAACTACCCCAGCCCCAATACTGAATCCCAATTCCAAGCATAATAGGCAAGGCCTTCCAATCACTCCCATTCCCAGGTGCACTCCTGTTCCTGTCAAGCCAATTCATCCAAAACCCCTACAAAAGCCCAGGGCTTCCTCTCAACTTTGACCTTCGAATATTGGCCATTCTTTTCCACTATATTCTTTCTCCAACTTTTTTACATCTCAGTACGAAATAAACTTCCTAGAGCAGCCTCCTCTCTGAGTAAGTGCTCCAGGAGGGTACACCTCAAGGACTGCTGCAGTGTTCCATCATAACTTACTATTGATGGCTCCACAGAGAGACGGACCACCTTACACACCAGTGTGTGTTGAGCACCTACAACATTGGAAATTCTAGCCCATATGTGTACGTTTGTGTGAATGTGCATAAAATTTGTTAATGTCAAATGAACAAATAAATGGATGGATTAGATGGCCATATATAAGTAGTTAAACAACTAAGATCTACAAAGGGCCTAGTTATGGCAACTGTAGACCAAGCCATTTTCAACAGGGTAGGTAGGACAGACAGAACAGGACAGGCACAGACAAAAGGTTACTCGTATCAGAGGTCTTCTCAGTCTCTGAGAGTCACCAGAAGCTTCCAGCCATCATTTCATTTCTGCTATCGCTTCCTTTTCTAACCTCTTCTCAAGCACAGTGAGACTGCCTGATCGAAGACAGTACTATTGGAGAAGAGAGGGATTGTATGTGGAGCAACTAGCAGAACCAGGCTGCAAGCCAGAGAGGTACTAAGGGGCTGATGAACAAACTTGGAGTTGTACATTCCAAAACTAGGGCCTTAGGGCCAGAGCTTGGGGGAGAACCAGGAAGACTGACACTGGGCCCAGGCAGACAATCAAAGGAACATGGCCCTGGGACACAGGCTGGGGTGAAGAACACAACACAGTGCTGACAGTCCAGCTAGAAGAAAGACAGAGTGGAGAGGAAAAGAACACAGGAGGTAGACAGCTCAGCAGTTTTGTGGGACTAAGTTACCGCCAAGACCAGGGAATGCGCCTAGCAAATGATGAGGTGATTAGACAAGAGGCCTCTGATATCTCATCTTCAATGGATCTCCATTTCTGTAGGTGCTCAACTGCCTCTCTCTGCAAGGACATTTCTGCAGACCATGCACCCAGCCAATTCCACTGGATCTAATTCTAAAGCCAATAACTGTGGGTAGTGGGGAGTCATGTAAGATATCTTCACCCATTTATACTGAGAAAGAATGAAGGCTGGGCATTGGGTTCTTAAGGAAAGCTCAGCTCTTCTGGCAGCCATAGGGCTCTGGACTTTATTTTCCTTGGCTACTAGGTGGTGATGCTCAACTCAGACAACCATTGGGAAGGTGAAGTTAGACCATGGTCATGAAGTACCACACACCGTTCTGACCACAGGATAAACTGACTCTTTCCTCTTCCTCTTTCCCTTCCCCTTCCCCTCCCCACTCCACTCTAAAGGAAGCCCAGCAGGCCCATGTGAACAGCGAAGGGGGGGTGGAGACCTACACTGCTGACTCAGTAGGGAGTAAGGCACAAGTCAGGGCTGGGTAGCATCCAGGGATGGAGCTAGGACCCACCTCCCACACCCCATCACCCTCATCCAGGTGCCTGGTGTCTGGGCTGACAGCAAGCCCCACACTAGGCTGTGTTAGTACCTTTCTCACCACATTTGGAGAGGAGTGCTGTGAGGTGCTGTCCACTGTGGGGACACTGTGAGGAGTTTCTTCCCCAGATGTCTGTGGCAAGGCAGCAGCAGTATTCTTGTCAAGGGGTAGAACTGGCTTTGGGCCCTCAGATGCTGGTGGCTCCTCTGTAACCTAGAAAAGAAATAATGACCTTGGGTGGATTTCCCACAGAGAATAGCAGCAGGGCCTAAGGCCCACTGACCCCTGCCCACATCAATGTTTATATACCATGAATGGATTACATTTTCTCAAAAAGGAAAATAATCTGGGTTGGGGAAATGGCAGTTAGTCAAGTGCCTGGCACACAAGCAGAAGACCTGAGTTCAGAGTCCCAGAGCCCACGCAGAACTTGGGGATGAACCACTGTCTATAACCCCAGAACTGAGGCAGTGGGCAGAGAACGGCTCGTTAGCCAGTTAGCCTCGCTGATCTGTGAGTTCTAGTTTAATGAGAGATACTGTCTTAAAAACTAAGGCAGATAACTGATGTCAACCTGTGGCCTCTATACACACATGCATATAAACGTATGTGCACCATCATATACACAGCCCCAGTCATCCATATACCCATACAAACATGTGCATATAATGCACACACACACACACACAATCTAAAATCTTCCTAAAACTGTATCCTAATACATAGTCTTAGGATAGAAGTCAAACCAAGAACTCTGAGCTAACTGTGATATTTACTTTAACAATTATAACATGTGTTTTTTGTTTGTTTGGCTGGCTAGCTGGCTTTGATCCAGTTTATTTCATTGCTGTTACTGTTGCAGTGCTAGGAATCAAGCGCAGCACTCAACCCACCACTGAGACACACCCTAAATCTGTAACAGGTTGTACTAATATTTAGCTGTGATCCTTTATGAACCCTGGATTCTGCTCTGCCATCATGGGGAGGATTTCACATCTCTTCAAAGGAACTGAGCCTCAGGAGATGACACCTAAAGCACTATCTAGCGTCATCCACGATGAAGCATGAATGTGAAGCCTTCTGGTTTATAACAGAAGTCTCTGGAGCCTCTTTAAAGATGTGTAATCATAGGTTTAAAGTGAGAAGAGATGGAGAAATAGGCTGGGACAAGAGATCTACAAAAAAAGGAAAAGCAGGAACTGTGAATTAAGATGTGGAACAGCAAAGATCCCAAAGATAAAAATTACTCAATCATCTTAAATGAGAAAAGAGAGGATCAGGGTTCAGTACCCCAATATTCCCTAAGTGGAGATCACAGCCTCTTCTATGGCGTTCCAGGCAAATCAGCAGGCCTGGGCCCTGGTCTTAGCTCCTCTTCTCAATAGTGTATTGTCTCTAGGAAAACTGCTTGCCCTCACCAACCCACTGCACCTACAAGCTACAGATGGCAGACACCACTACAGAGCACAGCTGTTGGTATGATATTTCATATGTGTACATAAAACACAGCTAGCTTTGTGGACATAAAGTTGAAATCTTCCTTGGAGTGTTGCAAAAGTGCCAGCAACCAAGGTCTAGTGCCACCCTCATTCCAGTCCTTGAGTTCTCCCATTTCCCTACTAGGTATGCCTAAGTTCCCAGCAAGGAAATTTGAAAGGTTGCACAAATAGGAGAGATTGCCCCCCTTATCCTGGCCCTGAGATGGGTCCAGCAACATTCTGATGGTACCATCTATTGGGCTTGAGTAGCATCTTCATGAATACATGAGAACCTGAGTTCAATCCTCCAGAGCCCACAGAGAAAAGCCAAGAATATCAGTGAGTGTCTATAATCACAGTGCTTGGAATGTGGAGACAGGTGGATTCCTGGGGCTTGCTGGCCAGTCAAGTGAGCCAAACTGGCAATCTCCAAGGTTAGTAAGAGACTCCGTTTCCAAAGAGGGGCGTGGAAAGCAATAGAGGATGATGCCCAACATCAACGCCTAGCTTCTGCGTAGATTAACCTGCTCTCCTTCCTCTCCCCCGCCTCTCTCTCCTCTTCTTCCCTCTCCCCGCCCCAGTACCTTTATGTTTTCAAAGATACTATCTATGGACAAAATCCCCAATGTCACCCCAGGACACAGGGTAAGCCAGGCCACTCTAGAGAGCACTGAGCCCAGATCTCTATAGAGACCATGTACTATATTCTCCACAGTTTTGCTGAGCAGGGAGGTCAGGGCTAATGTGGGGGCTTAGATGAAGGACTGGATGCTGTATCCTCTGAGAAGTACTGGGATGTCAGCTCACCTGCAGGGTTTCCTCCTGGCTCTGGGACTGAACGGGTGCTGGCTGCCTCACGATGTAGTTGATCTGGCCCACAATGGTTTGCTGAAGATGCTGAGGAGACTTGGTCTGACTCAGCTGCAGGCTGGGCTGCTGAGCCTGAAGGAGAAGTTCCAAGTCCTTCTGCATCTCCTCCAGCTCAAACTTGTGGTGCATAATGTCCACGTTCTGGGAACAGGCGGACCCAGGAGGGCTCTCGTGCTGACCTGAAGCCAGGTGCTGGGATGGAGGCAAGGGTGGGGGTGCATGCTGGGTGGGTGGGGGAGGTGGAGGTGGGGGTGGTGGCTGCTGCTGTGGCTGCTGCTGAAAGTGGCTGAGCTTCAGCTTCTGGTGGCCCAGCTGAACCTGGATGGAGGGTGTCTGTATGGTGGGCTGGGCATGAGCTCCGGACTGAACGTCTTGTGGAGGGACGATGCACACAGGCTGGGAAATCAGCTGCTGTCCTGGCCGCTGGGATGTACTCTCCTGTTCTGCAGGAGGCGGTGGCTCTAGCCAGGGCTGCAGCAGCTTTGGTGGATGAGGACTGCAGGCTAGCTCTTTCTCCCTGGGCAGCAGAGTGGAACACTGCAGTGACCCCAGCTGCTGGGACACCATTTCAGAGGGCTGCCGGAAGCTGTGAGCTGGGTGGATACCGGGTGGGGCCGCCTGGCCTTTGAGGGAAGGGGAGACTGGGGAGCAGTGGGAGCAGCAGACAGACGAGGAGCACAGTGCTGGAGGCTGGAACTTGTGTGAGGAGTGGCTGAGCGACTCCTGCTGAGCCATGGGGGCCTGGTGGCTCTGATAAAAGGATGATGGTCCCTGTAAGGTCCCATAAGCAGCTGTAGCATCTGCCCGGGACAGCTGTCCACCCTCGGTGGTGATGCACCCTGGAGATGGAGAACAGAGAGATTCCCAAAGGTAAGACGCAGCTGCTTTCTGCTCCCAGGACCAAAGAACACCATTCAGCAAACCCATTCAGCCACCAAGACAAAGAACATCCACCCCTGACCTCCAAGACTCCGTCTAGAATACTGCCAGGAACAACACCTGCAGGAGTTTGCTTTACAGGACTATGGGTAATTGAAGAATTGGGTCAGCTTTTACTAAATTTTTACCCGACTGGGAAATTCACCTGCCCTTTACACTCCTTTTAGTCTAAAAGCTCAATGGAGAGTCACTAAAAGAATGCACGGGGGGGGGTTGCTGGAAAATAGCAGAGGGTGACAGTGAGCCTCTAGGTACACATCTGGGAAACTGTTGGGCAGTGTGATGGAAGAACCCATGCCAGGTTGGTGCCAGACACCAGCACTGCCCTTGGGTTTCTGGGTCCCTGTGATGAGAATATCATACCAAGTGCTCTCTGTCTACCGCTCCTTCACCCTTTGCTCTATGAAGCCTGTTTAGAAGACTAAGCTCCTTGAAGACAGATGATGTGTCTGATTCACCTTTGGTCCTTCCATACTCAGCACCAGGCCACATCCAGTACCGAATTAAATCAAACAGGAGGGCACAGCAAAAACTAAATCTGGGGCTTGAGTATATAGTCCATTTGGTGGAGTGCTGGCCTGGCATGTGCAAAGTCCTGGGTTCGATCCCCAGAACCATAAACTGGGTATGGTGATGCACAGCTCACCCAGCACTCAAAAGGAGAAATGGAGCCAAGAGAGCTAGATTTTCTTTTTTTTAATATTTTATTTATTTATTATGTATACAATCTTCTGCCGTCATGCCAGCAGAGGGCATCAGATCTCATTCAAGGTGGTTGTAAGCCACCATGTGGTTGCCGGGAATTGAACTCAGGACCTTTGGAAGAACAGTCAGTGCTCTTAGCGGCTGAACCATCTCTCCAGCCCGAGAGCTAGATTTTCAAGGCCACCCTCTGTTATTTAGTGAATTGGAAGCCAGCCTAAGCTACATGAGACCTGTCCAAACAAATGAACAAAAACACATCTAGTATCATTGATTTGCCAATTTCAAAAAATGTTCAATGAAATTAACAGCTTAGAATAAAAGTGGCAGCTGGTAGTTAGTTCAATAAGTCCATTAGGTTGTCAACACAAACATATCTTCATATTGTCTACACTGTATAGAGACTACCTGACAGAAATCACAGCAGAGAAGAAAAAATGCAAAAGGCCATTAATCTTCTGTTTGCACCTCAGTCCCAAGGAGGAGTGTATAGCCTTGTACTCACATATACATGCCCTGTGTCACCACACAGATATGTTCACCTGAACTGCCACACAGCATTCAGGAGAGGAGTGTCACTGTCTTGTCACCTCTCCAGCAATGAAGCCAAGGAGAAACATTCATGTAAATTAGGAAGCTAATGTTTCAGATGGTGTTAGAGTCCCACACTACCATTATGTAGCCCATCCTCCCCACTTCTACTCAAGAAAAGGTTTGGTCACTGACACCACGATCACCGGCAGGCTCTGAGCGCACTCTCTCTTGGGCGTATGCTGACCCACCTAGAAATCATAGCAGATTGCCTATACTTATTCTTAGCTGACAGGACAAAGGTCACAGCTCACCAAGGGAAGCCAGCTGCTTGGTCCAGAAGTTGGGCTCCCAGGTGAATCTGATACTCCAGGGAGAGCCAGGATCTGTATTACAACTCGTCTCCAGCAGCCGCTGCATCTGGAACACAATCTGACAACAGCAGCTTTTATTTGGGCGTCTGCCTGGGCCCCACATGGTGTCCCTCTGGTGTGGGTCATCCTCCATGGTCTCAGTTCCCTGTCCCCTTCCAACCTTCCCTGCCAGTGATCTTTCTCTCCCCCAGGCTCTGGAATTCCGACTTATGTAGGCAGCCATCCGACCATCACCTCCTTTGACGTTGTGCAGACCTCCTCAGAGCTGGCACTGCTCTGCTCCTGCCAGCGTGTAAAGCCCCTTCCATCCCACCCAGCTCTTCCTGCCATGGCTCTCATCTACTGGCCTTCCCGCTCGCCCATTGCTTGGGGCTTTGTTGAGTACCCAATCACACCCGCCATCATCTGATTCTAGATAATGAATGGCACAATTGACATCTTGACCTCTTAAATCCTTGGTTTTTTTTTTAGTTTGTTTTGTGTTGGAGAAAGGGTCTCACATATTCCAGGCCTTCTTCAAATATATCACATATCCAAGGATGACCTTGAACTTCTCATCTCCTGCATGTACCGCCACACCTGGTATATGGAGTACTAGGAATCAAACCCATGACTTTGAACATGCTAGGCTAATACTCTACAACTGAGCTACATCCCCAGTTCCCATTATTGATTCCTTTTGTTCGTTTTTAGATTATATTTTAATTACAAAATTTCTCCCTTCCCTTTCCTTCCTGTAAATCCTTCCGCACACCCCTCCCTGCTCTCCTTCAAATTCATGGCTTCTTTTTCATCATTGTTATTGCATGCATATATGTATTTGTATATACATATATATCCCAAATACAATCTGTTGAGTCCATATAATGTTACTTGTATCATTCTTGAATTCTTTAATGTCAACCAACTTCAACCTGTTTTCAGCTCAGTTACTACACCTACAGCCCATTCATCATCTGGACTCATTCTACCTATGAGGCCATAAACTCCAACAACCCATTTCTTGATTATAAGGTGCTCCTACTCCCCTGGGACATGTTCTTCAATCTCACGGAACTCTCTGAGTGCCACTCTAGCAGCTCATTGTACCCAGTTTCCCATCATCTTCAGGTCCCATGTCAATAGCGCCCTAAGTCTCTCCCCAGGTCAACCAGCTATACTAAAGCCTTGTTATTCATCTTATCTAAGGCCATGTAAGTGAGCATTAGTTTCAGGGGCTCACTTGGAAGGTTCCCTCAGCCTCCCTTTTAGTCACTTCCTTTATCACCTTCCTCTTCCAATGCTAGGTCATTCACCTTACCATTTTACCCAACCTCTAACCCTTTTATTATCTATTACTTTGTAGTTCACAGAGGATGCAAGGATAAAAGAGACCACAAAAAGCAAATGCCCCAGAAATTGAGGATATAGCTCAGTTAATAGTGGTTGCCCAGTATACAGGAAGCCCTAGGTTCAACACTCAGCACTTCATAAACCCAGCATAGTGGTGTGTACTGTAATATCGACATTCAGGGGAGTCAAGTCACCCTGAGCTATATAGTGAGTTTGAGGCCAGCCTGTCTTGGACACGACAAAAAGACAAAACTCTCCAAATACAGACTCCCTTCGCTTTGTAGACTGAACTATATGTACTGCCCTTAACCGAGACCAGCAGGCACCCTCTGGATCTCACTCTCTACTGTCTTTCCCGGGGTGCTCACTCCACCCACCCCTCTCTATTTTACTGTTAACCAACCTCTCTCCCATATGGAAGTACAAATGCTTGCCAAACTTCAAAAGAAAAAAAGTCTCCTCCAGCTCTGCATCCTTCCCAATTCCTGATCCCTTCTCACGTCTACATCTACCCTCCCTCCCTGCTCACGCTCATCTGACTTCTGTCTTCCTGCTTTGCTGGAACTTCCTGTGGCCAGCTCAGCTTGTCCCTGTCTCACCTCTGCAGTGTGGTCAGCACAGGCCTCAGTGTGAGCTCCGCTGGCCTCCATGCGCTCTACTTCCCTGCCTCTCCTCTACACTCTAGCTGTGCTTCTCCGTCCCCAATGTCTTCTCCCCGCTGTAGAAATAACGGCATTCCCTCATTTCAGATTTGCTCTCTGAGACGATGCTCCCATGGTGACTGTCCCAGGAGTGCCACCTCTTTTTTTTTTTTTTTTTTTTTTTTTTTTTTGGTTTTTCGAGACAGGGTTTCTCTGTGGCTTTGGAGGCTGTCCTGAAACTCGCTTTGTAGACCAGGCTGGTCTCGAACTCACAGAGATCCACCTGCCTCTGCCTCCCAAGTGCTGGGATTAAAGGCGTGCGCCACCAATGCCCGGCTGGAGTGCCACCTCTTAATCTCCAGCTCTGACTCTTCTGCTTTCCAGACCCATCTATCAAACCAGAATTTTGGACATCCCTTTTCAGATGCCTCCAGGCGCCTTAGAGTCAATATAACCATCTCTCAAAACCCATCCTCCTCCAGCCTGGTGTGTTGCACTCAAGGGAAGGAGACAGGAGGATCTCAAGTTTGAAGCCTGCCTGAGCTACCTTGCAAAACCCTGTCAAAAACAAAGCCAACACTTCCTTCTCCTAGGTACCTCCATCCTCAAAAGCCCAGGACTTCAAGATCCTCTTCAATCCCTGCTTTTCTCTTGCTCCCCTACTTGAAGCCTAGTAGCGAACCTTCTGTGAGATCTCTCAATACTCCCTGTACCCAAGACAATATGTGAGTATGTGAGAACTACAGTCCTTCCTGGCTGGGTTAGCAAGATCATTTCTGTACCTGGGTCCCTTGTGCTATAGGACTTGGTAGAAAATGACATTCACCTACTAACCCCAAACCATGGCTGGGTCTGAAGAACCCAAGACCTGCTATCTACTCCTCTTTCCTCCTAAAAACAGGCACTTCCAAGGACAGCCCCTCCTGTTGTGATACAGGCTCTGTTCTGATCTGTTTTCACTAGCTGAAGGGATGGGCTTCCTCTTACCAGCTCTTTGCTGAAAAGGAAAGGGACGCTGGTTTTGCTGCAGACGGCCCAGTTGATGAAGTTCTGCACATGCTCAAACTGACGGTTGAGAACCATGATGCTCTGCAACTGCTGCTCCAGCTTCCTCTTTCTCTCATTAGTAATGCCCTAGTGCACAGAGAAAAGACAGAGTCCCTGCTGCTGCTCATGGACCTATTTGGGAAGTCTAGTAGCCATTGTATATCAGCATGAACACTGATGGCATCAGATAAGAGAACTTCTGAAAACAGCCTTAAGCTGTTTGCTGATGGATGAAGGGAGAAGAGATCATGAGAGATTTTACAGCACAAATGCAGAATGGTGAAAATTGGGAAAGCATGAATGAATGAATGTCTATATCTCTTGCACACAACCTTATGAAGAAGGTGCAATTAGACTCTGTTTTAAGACTTCCCTGGCATAGTTACAGATGTCAGCTACCTGAGAGACATTGCATCAATAAGAGGTTGAACCTGCTTTCTAGTCCTTAACAATCCACTTTCCCAAAATTAAGACTAGAAATTTAAAAATACAGCATGCAACAAAATGCTACAAAGGCTGTGTATCTGAATACTAGCCCTGGACTCTGATCCAGGAGAGCACAGAACACACTCCCCTGCTCCATCTGCATATGCATACCTCAAGCTCCTCTATGAGTCCATTGGCCTGTTTGTTCAGCTCATTCATGAGGACCATCTTGGCCATTTTGATCTGGTTTTCCACCTTCCTATGCTGATGCTTCACTTCAAAAATCCTGGAAATATGATGGGATAGACACAGTGATGCCTTTCTGCTTGCTGAGACAGCAGACAGGAAAGCAGACAGCTTGGGAGCTGCCGTGAGATAAGGGTCAAGCAGGCATCAGTCCTATTTAGTATCCCTCCCAGACTCCTGTTGTGAACTTTAGGAAACCTAGGAGTCCACAACCAGGTCCACCCAGCAGCTCAGTGGGTGGACAGTACTGTGGAGTACATGGAGATGATTTCATATGAGGTATTGTTCAAAGGGAAGATGCTCCAAGCAGCGGGAAAGGGAGTGTGGGTACAGAGACTAGTGGCTTCTGAGGACTGAGGAGAGCGGAAGTGGAGGAAGTGATCAATAACATATATGGGTTTCTCTTAGGGGTGAGGAAATATTCAATTGTACAGTTCTGTGAAATGCCAAAAACCAATGAAGCATGTATTTTAAGGGCTTTATTTTATTATATCTCATTAAAATTTTAAAAGAGAAAGGTTATGGGCTTTGAAGTCACCATAGCCCTAACTTCCAAATTTATTAGCCATATTTGCTCAGATAAGTCACCTAACCTCTCTGAACTTCTGCCTCCTCATAATAAAATGGATATAAGCTGTGACTATTGTAATAGCAAATAACACAGGTTTCCCAACCCACTTGTTCCTAGTTCCTAACTCCTGCTGTACAAAATGCCAGTGATATCATGCCATAAAGCTTATTTATATGGGAAACAAGAATGGACAGATTATGGCTAACTTGTTGCTATCCCACAATAAACAGCACTTTCTTCTCTGGAAGTTACTTACTACATACCCTTGTTCTCAGATAACTACTTCTGGCTGATTCATAAAGCACAGATCTTTGGCCCAGACTCACTCTGATCATCCTGAACCAGCCCGGCCCTAGTCATCAACTGATATCCCGAAGACACCTCACTGGCATGGAGATCTCTAAGAAATGGACACATGCACTTATCTGCATAGCTGCATTCCCCTCCACGGACACTCTGGGGACTGGTACCCGAGCCCAGGTAGTGAGTCAACAGCACATTTTCAGGGCTAGCAAGATCTGGCCAAGGCTACCTGTCCTCAATTTGCTTTGCAGATGTCTGCAGGCTGGATTTCTTATGTGCCACCTGCGTAGTCACACTTTCCAGAAGCATCCTCTGGTTTTGTAGAACTTCTTCAACATGTCTACACCTAAAGTAGGAGACAAAGCAAAAGCTGAGAAGTGAGGGCCCCTCTCCTGAACATCCAGAACCCAGGAATCCCTGTGGTGCACTGTCTCCGCCTCAGACACCACGATTACCCACTGAGAGAGACAAAGGCACTCAAGTCTCTTGGTCCATCAGAGACTTTTAGACATTCTGCAGAGAAGAGAAGTACCTTGACCCAGCAGCTGCAGGTTGGCTTGGGCAGGGAGAGGGTTCTTTTTTTCTCCCCTTGAGATAGTGTCACTACGTAAGCAAGTTATCCTCTCACTCACTGTGTAGCCTGGGCAGTCCCCTAAACTCACCGTCCTCCTACCTCAAGTGTTGGGATCACAAGTGAGCACTCACAAGAAGCAGCGCAGAGCCTCCCAAGCCCACTCAGAGGGCCCAGCATCCCACCTGTGCTCTTTGTGCTCCACCATCAGGCAGCTGTGGCACGTGAGCACGTCACATGTCTCGCAGAAGAGCTTGAGCACTTCCTGTGTGTGCAGAGGGCAGTACAAGGCGAAGTCCCCAGAGCCACCATTCACCCCTGCCAGAGAAGACAGAAGATGTGGGCTTCTGTCCATGCAGACCTTTCTGTTAAGCTTTGCTGAGCAGCCCTCAGCCCTCCAGGGACATGGCACAGACACAGAGCTTGCGGGCAGGAGATGCAAACAGGAGAGGTCTCTCTTGGGAACAGTGAGACTCAGGGCCCAGGGAAGAATTCAAGTCAGCCTGGCTAGATTCTCAGCTGTCCAGAAACCTCACACTCTCAAGCCCTAGTATCCCACCACCTGCCAGGAATGCAGGAGGCACTCGCACCTGCTCCAGATAGATCTCTGGCACAGTGGGAAACCCTCCCAAATGAACCTAAGCCTCTTCACTAACCAGGATTCTGTGTTGATGGGGCTAAAACCTGCTACTCAGTTTTGCTGGGCTTCAGACTAGTTCATGTGATAACTCTGCTTCCTGTGGGCCTGACAAACATAACACCCCCTTGTCACACACACACACACACACACACACACAACTCAAAAGCCCCAGGAGAAGACTTTCTAGAAGATTGTTGCTTAAAACAGATGGAGCAGGACAGACAACAGGACAAGAGTGGACCTGACTGTTAAGTGTGTGATATGAGACATATTGCTCTAAATAGGAGTGGAGGTGGGAGCTCAGCTAGCTTCTGTGATTCAAGATCATGCTCCCAGCACCAGCTCACCCACGCTTACCCGCCCCCAGTCCAACAGTGAAAGGCTGGAGTGAGTCACCCCTCTGACTCTGAGGGAGACATTCTTCCTTTGCAAAAGACTCAGAAACCATCCCTACTGTCTCCCTTGGCTGAGAAACAAGGTCAGGAAGCTATTCTTCAGGTACTTGAGGGTTCAGCACAGAAGAAAGGTGGGGGACTGGTACCTGGAGATCCCTTCTGTGCCCGTGCAAAGAGTGGGCCCCCTGGGGCTGGGACATGTCGGTGTTCTTCTGTGCAAGAGCTGCACAGCCAGCGATTGCAGTAGGTGCAGAGGATGTGTGCTGCCCTCTTCTCCTTGCACTCAGAGCAGTTCTGAAAGTAGAGAGAACAAAATTGGTGACCCTGTTGTCGCTGAAGCTTACAGCTGCAAGCAGCCAATGCTCTAGAGACTGGGGTCCTCATGAAATGTTCCTCCAGGACTGAGGAGTGGAGTCTACTGGAGGGCTGCCTGCCAGGGCTTGTGCAGGAAAGCCCCCCCCCCCCCCGTGACAGAAGGAACAGTGGCTATCCTGCCCTACAGGTAAGGAAACCCAGTAAGTCAAGCCCCCCCCATCAAGGCATATACATCATGAGCAGGGTGACACCCTTTAAAAGGGTAATGTAGTGATAAAAACACATGACAAGTGCTGAGGGCACATGCAAAATGAGGTTTCCAAGAAGTAGGCCTGAGAGAGGCAGGGAGCGTTTTCATCTGTAGGAAACATCCAAGTTGAATGCTGAATGCAGGGCAAGTAGGTAGATGGAGGAGTTACAACAGAGAAAACACTGAAGTAAAACCTGAGCATTCATTTCTTCAAAGGAGAGAGAGTCTAAGATGCCAGAGTTCCCAGGGAGATGTATATATCCAGCAGAGAGGGCACAGAAGGCCAGCCTCAGAGCTGTGCTCCATCTGCAGTCTGCCCAGCCTAACAGCCCGTCCTCGCCTCCAAAAGTTGGTCATGTCATCAGCAGATGTAATGGTAGGTCTGATGGGAACCATCATGAAATGATGAGATGTACAAAAAACGATCTACTCATTCTGTGCTTAACTCATGAAGCCACTAAACTACTGCAGATTCAGAAGGCTTTATGGATTCCCCTATGAATGTCTTAGAAGTAGAATACATGAGTCTGTCTTCTTATCATCACTAAGTCCCAGAGTATAACAGACATTCAGTAAGAATTAGATACAGGAGAAAGTAAATAAACTAGTAAGTTAATACAAAGCTGTGATAAGGATACGCCAGTAGAGAAACAGAAAGCATGGCAATCAGTAGATAATATGAGATGGTTGAGAGCTGTTACAGACAAGATTAAAGAGCTGTTAAACCTAAGCTGGTGTGTGAATTTTCAACTCAGTAGGAAGTTAAAAGGAAATAAAAGCCTAGTACCGATATTTTTTCTATAAGAGCCATGAGAAAAAAACACTGAAATAAACTAAGTAATGCTTAATGTACCTTAAGATACCTTCGCTTTCCACTCAAAGCATGTAATTCTCACCTAATAGAAAACTATGCTGCTTCTCCCAATTTGAACATTTTTTATTTCCTCCTGAGCGGATGTGTGAATGGATAAGCGGGTAGATGAGTAGATGGGTGGATGGATAAGTGGATGGATAAGTGGATGGATGGCTGGACGGGTATATGGATAAGTGGATGGATGGGTGGATGGATGAGTGGAAGGGTAAATGGATGGGTACATGGGAAAAGTGATGGTGCAGTCACAAGTTGGTGATAGGTGGCTAGACCTATAGACAGGGGATTTCATCAATTTCTATAAACCAACACCTGCCCATTCTCTCGTCCTGACTTACCCTGGCCATTGTGGGTTGCCCAGGAGAAAAGCACTGAAGAAAAATATGTTCAGTTACATCTCTGGTAAGATACACTCGATGACATCCAGGACAGGAGATGAGCTCTAAAGGAGAAAGACAGACAAGGAGTCAAGGCAACAGAGCGATGATACAGAAGGCCTAGAGGGAGGCTTTCTAACACCTAGCACCAACATATGGGCAACACCCACTCTGTACCACATGATTCCTATTCAGTAACAGCCTACAGTTAGCATGAACGCAACCATCCCACCAGGGGCCAGCCCTACAGACCATCCATCCCTGTCTTTGCCCACTCTACCTTCCTCTCCTCCCTAGGAACCAGGCTAGTGTAGCCCAGAGGACAGCATCAGTCACTAAGGTTACTGTGCTACCCATATTACTTCAGTGATCTCAAAGACAGAGCTTCCAGGAGTTCTCTAGCAAGAGAAAGAACAGCCCCATCCCCTGCCTGCTCACATAGGAAGTATTTTTCTATTGGTTTAACCAATACCAGTAAGTCTGCTCCTGGGGCCCAGAAGCATGTTGCTGGGCTATTTCCACCCAGAGTCCTAGACCATGTTAGGTACACTATATACATCACTGTAAACAGCCTGACTCGCTCCCTCTCCCAGAAGAATACAACAGTTTCCACCACATTCCTTAGCACAGTGGGCATCTGAATTACATAAGCAGCAGGAAATTGCCACCCTGGAGATGACAGTGACTCTTCAGACCCACTCTAAAAACAGTCAAACCTCTTGGAAGTAGTCTGGAGGAGGGCAGGTACCTGTGACTGTGTTTGAGGCTGGTGTGAAAAGGAATAGGCTTGGTAACAGGGCTTGTAGCAACATTGTCACAGACTTCTCTGCCTTGCTTCATTAATGCAGTAATGAATGCTACAGTGTCAATTGCTCTACAATGCACTCAGAAGAATGCAAGCCCAATACCAGTAAATGCCACCCAGTGACCTTGGGAAAGTTGTTTTGTCTCAACTGATTCACCTACACCTATTTTATTATATGTAAAATAGAAAGTGGAAAATGAGAGTTCCTTTAATAGATAGGCATGGTGGCATACATCTATAATTACCAGCACTTGGGAATCTGGGGCAGAAGGCACCACTAGTTCAGAGACAGTGGGGCTACATAGGAAGACCCTGTCACAAAAAGACAAGCTGGTGAGATAACTTAGCAGGTAAAGGTGCTTGCTGCTAAGCCTGAAAACCTGAGCCCTACCCACCTGAGTCCACAGGTGGAAGGAAAAAACCAATTCTTTCAAGTTGCCCTCTGACCTCTACATGTGTGCTATAGCACACACAGATGCCCATGTATACACACACACACACACACACACACACACACACACACACACACACACACACGCTATAGGATTGCTATGAGAATTAAATTAGATATTTGAGAAAATAAAGTTCTCTTTGAATGTTGAGTTTGTATTCAAAATATTTCTCACATCTAATCCACTGATGAAAAGCAGATAAAAAGTGGTACACTGAGAAATTTGCCATGAATTCTTCCTCTCCCTCAAAGAATTCCTTGTGATCCCTTCTTGGTTTTCAAGGACATGCTTTCATTATACAGCCCTGGCTGGCCTAGAACTCACTATGTAGCCAAGGCTGACCTTTAGCTCACAGAGCTGCCTCTGTCTTCTTTTTTTTTTTTTTTTTTTTTTGGTTTTTCGAGACAGGGTTTCTCTGTGGCTTTGGAGGCTGTCCTGGAACTAGCTCTTGTAGACCAGGCTGGCCTCGAACTCACAGAGATCCACCTGCCTCTGCCTCCCAAGTGCTGGGATTAAAGGCGTGCGCCACCAACGCCCGGCATGCCTCTGTCTTCTAAGTACTGGAATTTATGGTATTTGCCACTGCACCTGGCCAAAAAGAACTCTCGGGGATGGGGAGATGGCTCATTAGGGAGAAGCTGGGGCAGGACAGACAAGTTCCTTGAGCTCTCTGCCCAGCTAGCCTAACTAAATTGGGCTAGCACAAGGTTCAGTGAGAGAGCCTGTCTCACATCATAAAGTAGAGGGCAACTGATAGACACCTGATGTTGACCTGTGCATGCCACTGACACATACATGAACACTGTAAGCACGAGAGAGAGAGAGAGAGAGAGAGAGAGAGAGAGAGAGAGAGAGAGAGAGAGAGAGAGAGAGAGAGAGAGAGAGAGAGAGAGAGAGAGAGAGAGAGAGAGAGAGAGGAGAGACAGGGTAAGGGAGGACTCTCTAACTCCACCTACGACTAGCCCTCAGGGGCCTGTGCAATTCTGCTCTTGCTCCTAGAATTCTCCAGCTGCTCTGTGAAAAGTTGAGCCTGGGACTCAGATTGCTGGAAGATGTCAGACCTTGAGGAAAGAGGCTGTAACTGCCTCAAACATTCCTCATAAGGCCACCCGAAAACCAGCCAGACCAAGTGACCCACCAATCTGATGCAGGCACGAGAGTACAGCCAGGACCAGGCAAACTTAGCCCAGACTACCCAGGGAATTTCAGTCCAGATCACCAACCCAGAGAGCCACACAACAAAGAAAGCTAGTTTAGTCACTAAGTTTTGGGGTGGCCTATTGTGTAGCAAAAGTTCATCGCTACCATCTGCAAAATCCACAAAATCACATAAAACAACAGCCCTTGCAGAGCCACGAATCTGAATGAGAGACCTGCATCTGAGTCGTGGGGGTTATTTTTTCTGCTGGTCAACACTCTCCGCAGGTGACATTACCTAGCTGTCAGGTGACGGTCTCTCCCATCTACTAGGTGCAACCACAGGGATCTGAGTGTTAAAAGTTACTTCCACAAGACTCCCGACTCCTGGTACTCAAACATTAAAACCAGTAACACAACAGACTGGAAAAGGAGGATGAACTAGACGGTTCAAATAAGGCCTCATGACACATCACCTGTCTTTCTTGGCCTTAAAGATGAAATCCTTTTTTGTTTGTTTGGTTGGTTGTTTTTTTGTTGTTGTTGTTGTTGTTTTTTGTTTCCCAAGACAGGGTTACTCTGTGGTTTTGGAGGCTCTCCTGGAACTAGCTCTAATAGACCAGGCTGGTCTCAAACTCACAGAGATCCACCTTTGGCATTCATTTTCAACTTGGTCTTACCACCCTCCAGTCTCATCTCTAGCTTCACCTTCCAGATGCCATGTCTTTAGTATGCCAAGTATCTCTGCTGTCTCTGGAACAGCCAAACTTTTACACAGCCCTGTCTGGGAAAATGCTGTTCCTTCTTGAAACATTTTTCCTTGCTTCCGTCCTTTTCAGATAAACTCCTATGCATCCTTTCAAACCTGTTCAAATGTTCCACTTTTGAGAAACAGGGCTGATTTCTCCTGGGATCAGTTAATTAGTACCTCCAGTATAAGAAAGATCACACTACATTTTAACTACCTGTTCATATGTCCACAGCAAAATAATCTACATTTATTATCAAAGGATGTTGCACAATTTTTAGAAGATTGGATAATTGTACTCTATGTGTATTCCTTGAACTCGTGGCCACTTGGAAGAAGCCACCTGAACACTTCTGGGGGAAATGGGGGAAAGCCATCCTGAGATGACAATCACATGGTGTGCAGACAAGGCTCCGCTGCTACTATCTTACTGTCACCCGAGGTGAGCACCCCTTTTCCTGAATGCCACATATAGTTAAGATGAGGAGACTAGGCATAGCAGGAGAGTTGGTTACAGGACCCTTTTCATGTGCCCTTAGCAGTCCAACTTCAGGAGAACTCCTGATGCAGAGCAGAAGGGGACAGTCAACCAAATGGCTACTGAGATATCTATCCTTGTCAGAAAGTCAGGTGGGCCAGGTAGGTGGCACACACCTGTAATCTCCCAGCACATGAGAGATCAAGGCAGGAGGATTGCCAGTTTGATTCCAGCCTCAGTTACACAGTGAGAAACTGTCAAACAAACAAAACAAAGACCAGAGAGTTGAATGACAGGCTGTGGCTGAGGGGAGCCTAGATCAACCCTGAGGAGGGGCTGCTAACTAGCAGAGCCAGAGATAACTACACTGCTCATAAGAATCACTATTTACATATTTAAATTGCATCATAAGTAAAATGTTATTTACATATAATGCTTATTTTGGAAGGAGGGGCTTTTTTGAGACAAGGTCTCATGTAGCCCAAGCTGGTCTCAAACTCATAATGGAGCCAAGAATGACCTTGAACTCCTAGGGAAGTTGAGTTACAGGTGTGTGACACCATGACTGACTTATGCAGTGCTGTGGATTAAATCCAGGGCATCATGCATGCTAGGGAAACATTCTACCAACTGAACTACATGAGGGATATGTAGACCAGGCTGGTCTTGAATGTGACAGAAATTCTCTTGCCACTGCCTCCCAAGTGTTAAGATTACAGGTGTACATCAGTAAGCTCACCTACTTTACTGCTTATTTCACAACCAGAAACATCATCCTTGAGACCCAGGAGACCACGACACAAAGACCACCAAGGAGGTGGGGCTTCTGTTTCCAGGATGAGGAAAGCACCAGAGATCTCCCTATGGAGCCTAGGGCCAGGGAGAACAGCTCTGAGAGCTAAAGTCATTCCTCCCATCTGTTATGAGAGTGAAAACTGAGACAGGGGCCATGATGCAAGTCTGCAATTGTAGCACACAAGAGACTGAGGCAGGGGAATCTCAAGTTCAAGACCATACTAGGCTACACAGAGAGTTATAAGATAGCCTGTCTCAAAAACGAAACACACTTCTTGTCCCTAAGTGGGTGATACAAATTGGCGTTTACTTAGCACTACTTTCTGTACTGGCACCATACTCATTCAACCATCAACCATTTCTTAGGAATGGTTCTTGTCTCCATTTTACTGTGGAGATTGAGGCTCCAAGAAGTTAAATTAGACAAGCTTGTGGCATACTAAAACCCAAGTCTGTTTACCTTTAACACTATGTCCTTAGGACAGGGAGATGGCTGAGTAAAGCAATTGTCATTGGAGCTTGAGGTCCTAGTTCAAATTCCCTGAACTCATGGAATCTGGATATGTCGGCATGCATCTGTGATCTCAAAACCACTGCAGGCAGATGGAAGGTGAAGACAATACAACCTCAGAAGCCCACAGGCCAGACAGCCTGTACTGTGCAACACAGCCACAGACAACAATAAGACCCTGCCTCAAACAAGCCGGAAAGTGAGGGCCGACACTCAAAGTTGTTTTCTGACCTCCACACATATGCCACAGCATTCATGTGCAACACACACAAATAAAGCCATGTCCCTTTCATTACGTTATATTCTTTCCTTATTCAATAATAAATAATATATTTTATTGTAATTAACTAGATAGTTTTACCATTTAAAAATATTTCATAATAATGGTCAGACCACAGTTATCACAGTTATTATCCAACTATACTAATAGCCCATACCCAGCTCTGGAATTTGGAATTCTCCAACTGTGCTTTTAAGAAATACAATATTTGCCAGGCAGTGGTGGTACACGCCTTTAATCCCAGCACTAGGGAGGCAGAGGCAGGCAGATTTCTGTGAGTTCGAGGCCAGCCTGGTCTACAAGAGCTAGTTCCAGAACAGGCTCCAAAGCCACAGAAAAACCCTGTCTTGAAAAAAAATATTTGAGGAAAGCAAGTGGAATGAAGCTTTTGTACCTAAAGAAATCAAATGTGGAGCCAGGTGCATCCTTTGTACAAATCCAAACTATAAGGGGACTTTTAACCATCCTGATATGGGATGGAGATGTAGCTCATAGAGTTTCAGAAGGTAGAGTCCAGGCATCAGCATCCAAAAATAATACTTCAGGTAATTATAAAGCACAGCTCTTTGACAACCAGCACCCTGAACAGTACTCTTCCTCTGAGAGTTCTTTCCCCTGTGTCATGAAGCTAAGAAAGGCAAAAGTCCAGAAAACTCTGGATGTAGCTGTGGTGGATTTACCCTCTGACAAATGGATAGATTCCCAACACACAGAAGGAAGCCCTGGTACCCAGATACCCTGTGGGTTGGCACTGAATTGGAGGCTACATTTTACATCCTCAGACTTCAACTCAACTAAGAGACCAAGATGCAGTCTGTAGCCTGCTACTGAGGCTAGAGTCTGTGCTGAGCCCAGAAAGGGAAAGGAGGCCTAGTCTGGGTAACTAGCCCTCAGCATGAACAACACAGCCTAGGCAGCCTTGGCATCAGATGACGACAGTGGAAGAGATATCCTAGGAGGTCCCAGAAATCAGGCATGAGTCAGCTCAGGCCACCAATGAGCGTGGCCACCTTGAGCCCAACTTGAGCCTAGTGCTACACAATCCTCATGGGTTTAGGAGGCCTGTCACTCCTCAGCTCTCTCCAGTGCTCCATGAAAGCCACTGGAGCCCCAGATCTCTCTGACCTAGCAGTGGGATCCACTGAGGCAGCCTCAAGAGCCTCTGCCAGTGTCCAAAGCTGGGTAGACCTTTTCTGTTCCCAACTCCCAGTCTCATGGAGGATGACAGGAAGGCCTCAAGAGAAACAGAGACATGCTTCAAAACTACATTGCCCTTCTAAAACCTCAAACCGCTGAGTAGCCTTGAATAGCCTCTGTAGCCGAAGGTAAGACATGCTGCCTCACTGTGCTCTGCCAGACACTAAGCAAGGAAATAAAGCCCTCATGCTCAAGCAGACTGGCCAGGCTCACTGATCGTCTGTGCACTCCCACCCTCGGCAGCCTCATGCGAGGCCCCCACCGAAGCCCTTGAAGCCTTCCACTGCCCCATGACTCAGGGCAGCCTTGCCTTCAAGAAACAGGTTGCACCCACTCTTCAGATGTCAGTACCTGTTAGAAAGACAGACTTTGATTCAAGACACACCTAGGTTGGCTGCCGCTTTGGCCCCTGGCTGCCAGCAGGCTTACCTGTCACCCTGTTGCCGTGTAATTAGAGCAACACCTGGGAGAGAAGTCGAAGGAAGAGCTACAGGTAAGACCACCACCAGTCCTGGAGGGTGGTGCTCCCCAGAGCCCAGGAGCGACAGGTGAGACCACCACCCAGTCCTGGAGGGGGCTGCTCCCTAGAGCCCAGGAGCACCCACCCCGCATGCAGCAAGGCAGCTGGGCCACAGGGCCTAAGCCTCAGGGAGCTGGGTCTTGGGTGGGGTTTGGGGAGCAGCCTGGAGCCTCTCCTTGTTGTGATGCATCCTCAGCCAGGGCTGCGTTTCTCTAGCTCACCTGAGATGCTCCTGCAAGAAAGAGCGAGGTTGACTCCTCCTGTTCCTGTTTATCTCCAAGTCTCTGCAGCAATTTTCCCAAACTGAACAGCAAGAGGGAGACCTCAAAGAGGCGACTCTCTTCCTAGCTGCATCTCCTTCCTAATCCTCTGGGTGCCTCAGAAGGAAGAAAACGAGATTTTCAACTTTCAGGAACTAGCTCTGTCGCCCTCTGCACAGCACACAGCTCTGGAAGCCATCGCTCTCAGGCTTTTAGGACTCGATCCACAAAAATTCTTCAGCCCTCCATGTTCCCCAAAATGACAGTGCTCATGTGTGGCTGGAACCTGCCCGGATCCGGCAGCTCATTTAAATAGAGCTCATCATAACAACAGTGTTGGTGGAGAAGTGAGTAGCTGCAGGGCCCTGGGGACCCCCCTGTTTATACGTAGGAAGAATGATGCAATCTGGGTATCAAAATAGCAATCCAGAATGGAATAACAGGCTCCCGCAGCAGCGGTGCCTGCACAGCCAGAGCTCAAGTTGACACACTCTGTCAGCCCCACACTGCTGCAGCACGCAGATGCCAAGCACACACTCTCACCGCATCATTCTCAAAAACAGCAGGAGCCGGAGAGATCCCTCCAAGCCCCCTGCGCTGCAGGAAAGTGCAGGGGGGCGAGGAACCTCCAACAGACACTAAAATCTGTCTCCTAAACACTCACCTGCTCCTGCTACTTCACCTGAAGTCCTTATCCTGTGACGTCACAGTCGGTTGCCATAGTGACCAATTGTCCGTCACAAGCAGAGAATTAGGACTTCAGATGGAGAAGGCACATGTTTTATGATGCACAAAGGTCCTGGGCAGGTGTCCCTTGGCAGCTCTCTCTGTTCCCCAAGGAAACACAGCCACACACAAGCAGGAGGGAGAGGGAAGGAAAACAGGGGTGACTTGGAGGGAAGTCTTCAGGATAGGACAATAGTGGATGCTTAGAGCAGCACAGAACAATCACAGGTGGGGAGTGAGGATTGCCCAGCAGGAGCAGATGCTCCAGGAGGGTCTTAGATGCTAAACAAAAGATCCTGACCTTGACCTCAAGGAAAGGTCACCCAGAAAGGCTCTAGGGGCCTGACTGAACTAGGCTTTATGACTAAGGGCAGGAAAGTCACAAAGGAAGTTTATTCAGTTGAACATTAACAAGATCCTGAATGTGGGCAGACATGTCCAAATGGGTCAAAAGAGTTGCTCTAAAGAGAACATTAGTGTATGACCAAAATAAGACATGAGAGTAGTGGTGGAGTGTGAGGAGGCAAGAGGTGGGGCTATTCTGAACAGAGACAGGTATGGAAAAAGGGAGAGGGCAACTTCCAATCCTTTTGTAAACCATGTTTTCTCGATAGCCACATCTCTTAAATCAGACAGCATCCTGCCCCACCTGGACTAATGAGTTCCAAATCTCTAGTGCTTTCCAGAAATCTTTGGTCTACCAAATCTCCAAGATTCAGACACAGGGTCTAGAGTTTCAACAAAGTTCCCAAATCATTCTTGGACATCCAAACAGCACTGGTTTAAGGACTAACAATCCGGAAGCAATGGCCCGGACAACCACAGTGGCTTCCTAGTAATAATCTTCCTGCAATTTTCCTGCATGAGATTGTTGTGCCCAAGTTGCAAAGTCCCCAGAGACCACCAGGAAGACCCACCAAACTACAAAAGCAAGGTTTAATGATTGTTCATTCAACCATAACAGGGACCCTGTCTGGCTAGCTGTCACAGTAGCCTCCAGAGGGAGTGAAGTTCCCTGTCTACTGCTAGGTTTTATAGACAAAAATTACAGGATTACATCAATAGATACAGGATGGTTTCTGATTGGTTGACATTTGGGAACAATTAGGAGAATTTTTCAAAGTCATATTTTGGCATGAAATACCTGTGTACCAATTATTTTTATTGGTCAGTGCTGAGAGGGAACATTCTGTAGTTTCTATGGCATTGTCTTGTTACTTGCAGGTGGCCTGTTGTACTAGATACCAGTAGTTTTTAGAACTATATCCTGTAGGCTACAGGGAGGGTTTTGATTCCCCCCTGGAGTTTATTTTGTGGCCAAACAGTTCCCAGGAACCAATCATCTAGGAGGCTGGGATTAGGGGGGAGGAGGTCTGGAGTTTCTTTGTGTTCAGTTTTGGCCCTAGGCTCTGGGAGGGCAGGGGATCTGGAGTTTCCTTGTGTCAGAGGCCTATGTGTCTTTTCTGTAGCCTGCCATGACTACTAAAGCAGGTCCCTTTATTTTTAAATTATTAGAAGTGAAGCCTTTGAGTTTAGTTTACCCCTTTCAGAGATCAAATCAACCCTCACTGACAGGGTCTCATATGGCCCAGGCTAACCTCAAACTCACAAATCTACCTAGGGTTGACACTGAACTCCTGATCTCCCTGCTTGTACTTCCCAAGTGTCTGGATTAAAAGCTATGAGAACAAACATGTCATGCCAGAATGACTTTGTGTTGAGAGAGGGTCTCTATGTCCTAGAACTTGCTATATAGATCAGGCTGGCCTCAAACTCATCTGCCTTTGCCTCCTGAGTGTTGAGATTAAAGGAGTGTACCCACATCACACCCAGCTCACAATGCCTTTTGTTTGTTTTGTTTTTGTTTTTCTAGACAGAGGTTCTATGTACATCTCTGACTATTCTGGAACTCACTATGTAGACTAGGCTGACCTCAAACTCAGAGATCTACCTGCCTGTGTCCCCTGAGTGCTGGGATTAAAGGCATGTGCCACCACCACCTGGTCAAATAAATGACTTTTTAAATTATAGATTTGATCATGCCTCACTGATCACACTGGCTCCCAGTCTGCAGAAATAACATTTGTCAAGACCTCTGAGAAAAATATCTTTTCAGAGTCCCGTTTCTTCCCTTTAAGCATTCTATATGCTAGACAAAGTTAACCCCTTCTGTCCTGCTTACCTGCCTGTTTCTCCGTGGGCCTCATTCTCACATTATTTCCAAGCTGGAGTTTTCAGCCATATATTTCTATTCTGAGTGGCTTCTGCATAGCTATTTCTATTTGATGCCACCAATGGGCTCAAACCCACCAATTTTTCCAATGATTAAAACGAAGGTCATAACTACAGCTTGCCTGTTGTTGTCAATAAAGAACACAGTCAAGAATCAGCTTCTTGGACTGGGGAGTGCTTACCTAACATGTAAGTGCCCTGGGTTCAGTCCCCAGCACTCTGAAGGTAGAGGCAGGAAGATCAGAAGTTCAGTCATTCTCAGTACTTAGCAAGTTCAAGGACAGCCAAAGCTACATGAGACCCTATCTCAAGAAGAGAGATCAGGGAGATGGAAGGGAGGGAGGGAAGGGAGGAAGGAAAAAAGAAGGAAGGAAGGAAGGATTTCTTAGAACACAGTACACAATCCATTGGTGTCCACATTGACCAAGGCTGATTTTGTGCTACAATGACAGAATTGAGTAACTGTGACAGAAACTTTATGACTAGCAAAGTCAAAACTACATCCTTAGCTCAAAACAGCAGCTCCTCACACTCTTTTATCCATACTAGGATAAAACTCTGATTACAGAGTCTTGCTTGTTGCTAACCCACTTCCACCGTAAGCTCTGGCTGTGTAAATGGTTCACCTAGGCACTGGGCCTTCAGTCATGAGTAAGGTCTCACTGACAAGGAGGAGGACTGTAAGTATAAAAATGTGGGGGCCCCAGGACATGTGGAGACTACAAAGTGAATGTGGGGGAACTAGGAAGAGCCTTGAAAGGTCCAGCTAGTTCTGCTCTGAGCAGAAACTAAAGCTGAGTCCTTTTCTCTATTTCTTTTTGTGGTACTGGGGATTGAACCTAGGGTCTTGTGCATGATAGACAGTCCCTATACTGGTTATATACTTAGCCCTCTTTTCACTTTTCATTTTGCAACAGAATTTCACTTGTCTTGAATTTCTGTGACCCTTTCAAGCCTTGAATATGCAATACCTTTGCCTCAGTCTCCAGGGTAGCTGAGATTATAGGCCTGTACCACTAGGCCCACTTCTATTATTTTTTGTTTTTGTTTTTGGAGACAGGGTTTCTTTGTGTAGCTCTGGCTGCTCTGGAACTCACTCTGTAGACTAGGTTGACCTCAAACTGCCCAGCCTTTAGGTAACTGACAATGTAGGCCTAGAGTTAGAAGGAGTGATTGGGTTTGAAGTAGAGGATGTGGAAGCATAACTCCTAATGGCAGGACAAATATCATTACAGGAAAGAATAAGGTAAGCTGCAGTATCCAGGAACTAGGAGGTGGGGCCAGCAGCTGATCTGAAGCAGGATCCAGAATCTCAACCTGAGGCCTTCACAACCTCATTCTCTGAGGAAGCACCTGGGTGTGATGCCAACTTTCTGTACCCAGGAAATACCTACAGTAGATGCAAATGCAGACTGAGTCTGGGCTCATCTCATTTGGGAGACACTCAGTGACCCAGTAGGACCTCTGTCTCTTTTCACACAAAATCTCAGTAGTTGATACAAAGGAGGATATATAAACAGACCACCTGCAAAGCCACTGGCCTGAAAGGGGTCTGTAGGGAGTCCAAGGCATCGCCTTACTGTAGACCTGTAGCTTCTGCAGCCTGCAAGCCCAAACAAGCCCAGGAACTGGGATCTCATTGTTGTTGGTTCTGCAAATGACTGACCATGAGATCCTCAGCAGGCTTCTAGGCCCTTTCTGCACTCTCCATGTCCCATCTGTGTAGTAAACAGGTAGAGATGAATTCTAAGGGCTTTTCCCTCTGTCCGGCCTCCACAACACTTAGTTAGCACAACTAGTTCCCCATTCAATGACAGATCCAGTGACAAACAGACACTCCAAAACTGCCTATCAATCACTGCTACCTTGGACTTCCTCCCTCTGCAAATCTTTCTTACCATAGTTTTCCCCGTGCAGCAAGCACATCCCCACCAAACATGACCTACCTCTTTCCAGCCACCAGGGGAATTGCTCTCCCAGTAACGGGGATGTTCAAAGGTGCCAACGCTACTCCCAGGGCCCTAGAGAGCCAATTAAGGTGAGGAAACTGTTCTTGAACTAAAAAGCCACCCCGCTGACAAGGCTCTAGCTTCCGCACCTGCCACACACTCTGGCTCCATTCGGGTCAGCAGCCCACCCTCCACCTGGGAGACCTGGGGTACTATCTACTTAGACCCCATCAGTTTAGACAGGCTGTTCAAGGCCTTGAATAAGCAAGCAGCAGTCGCTGCCTTCCAGGCTTGCGAAGGAAGCCAATTCCACAGGCTCTGATTCTCACCAAGGCCATTAGAGCCCCTCCAGCTGAGCTGCTCATTAAGATTAGAGTCATTTCCCTCTCTGACTCTGAGATTGTAGCATCTTGCATCAGTTCCCTTTCTCTCTGTCTTCCCAAAGCCCCCAAGGCCTGCCCACCAAGGGACAGTGATTACTCCCCCCTTTCAGCATTAGCAGCATACAAGAAATATGCTGTTATCCTTAACCAGAAAACCTGTTACCCAGGAAATATGGGTCTATCTGCAGTGCTTATTTGGTGTTCTAAGAGTTTATCAGGTTCAACCTTGAAAAGTCAGAGAGGAGCTGGGATTGCTCAGTCTATCAGTGCTAGAGTCTGGATAAGCTCCAGAGATGTGAATTCCAGACCAGGCAGGGTTCTTCCTGCACCCTGATGCTGTC